TAGGTTTAGGGTTAGGTTTAGGGTTAGGTTTAGGGTTAGGTTTAGGGTTAGGTTTAGGGTTAGGTTTAGGGTACTGAGTGCTTGGGAATGCGCGGATTTGCCCTCCGCGATTATGTCATCGCGGTAGGGTCGCGTTTTTCCTTAGTGCTTCGAACGGCGCGAATTAGTCTTCGCGCTTATGTCTCCATGGATAAGGGCTTTGCGGATTTGTGGTGGAACCGTTTTTCTTTCACTTTGGTCTCTGTGATGGATGAAATGCCAGAATGGTCACACTGTGTGTATGTAAATAATAATAATTAAAAAAATTTAAAGAGAAGATTCAAAATCTTGGCCTGGTATGTATCTGTGTATTTCTGATAGACTCTCTTCTCTTCATAATCAGGGAGAGGTCAGTTTTTTCTCCCCTTTATTTTACTCCCTTTCCTAAAAGATTACTCACTGGATATGTTAGCTACTGCTCTTGAACAATCTTACTTCAATTACAAGCTGGGCTGACAAATACCGTGATTTTAAACCAAACTAATTTCAAAGTACTTTGATCAACTTTTCAGCCAGTCAAAATGGACAGTTCAGATTCCAACTTCCCTTGAATATAAAGGTAAAGTAAAGTATTCTGATCTTAAAATTGGAGCCTCAGAAATCTTGTTCCTTGTTCCACATTCAAGGTTAGAGTCTACCTTGCTGAAGGCTTGATCGTTATCCCTTTGAATTAAAATATCCTCCAGTCTGAACTGTGGCTAAAATGAATTTTCCTGGCATGAAATGCATTTAACGCGAAGAATGTTGAAATTATCATGTTAGTGAGGAGGAGGAGGAGGCAGAGGAGGAGGAGGAGGAGGAGGAGGAGGATAAACTCCAGTTTCTCCAAAGAAAGTAATTGTGTCCATTCATTTTGTTGCACATTTGAAAATGTTGGGACTATTACTCTATGATCCCGTTGAATGGCTTTATGAGGAAATATTTGGGGGATACATTTAATAAGAAGTACAAATGAATGAAACAATGAAGGAAACGTAAAGGGGGAGGAGAAGGAAGGAAGGAGGGGAGAAGGAAAGGAGAAGGAAAGAAGAAGGAGAAGAAAAGGAGGAAGAGGAGGAGGAGGAAAGGAGAAGGAGGAAGAAAGGAGGAAGAGGAGGAAGAGAAGGAAAGAAGGAGAAGAAAAGGATATGGAGGAGGAGAAGGAAAGAAGAAGAAATGGAGGAGGAAGAAAGAATAAGGAGGAGAAGGAAAGAAGGAGAAGGAGAAGAAAAGGAGGAAGAGGAGGAACTCCTCCTTTCCTTGCAAGCAGGCTCTTGAAGTCAACAGTGTTGGAAGGGACCTTGGAGGTCTTCTAGTCCAGCCTCCTGCTCAGGCAGGAGACCCTATACCATTCCAGACAAATGGCTGTCGAATCTCTTCTTAAAATGCCCAGTGTTGGACCAACCATAACTTCTAAAGGCAAGTTGTTTCACTGATTAATTGTCTTCTCTGTTAGGAAATTTCTCCTTAATTCCAGGGTGCTTCTCTCCTTGATTATTTTCCATCCATTGCTTCTTCAGCTGCTTTGGAGAATAGCTTGACACACACCCACTCCCTTCTTCTTTGTAGCAGCCCCTGAAATATTGGAACACTGCTATCATGTCACCCCTACTCCTTATTTCCTTTAAACTAGACATACCCAATTCTTCCTATGTTTTAGCCTCCAGCCCCCTAATCATCTTTGTTGCTCTTCTCTGCGCTCTTTCTAGAATCTCAACATCTTTTTATATTGTGGTGTGCAAATAGATGCAATAGTACAACTGTGGTCTTACCAAGGCATTGTAAAGTGGTATTAACACTCCACCCTTACTTGGATGTAAGCCTACTACCTAGAGTAGTTATGCAAGGCCGTTTTGCCTGATTGGATCATTGATGATTAGGGAGCTGGAGGTTAAAACATATGAAGAATGGTTACAGGACTAGTGAAAAGAAGGATTAGGGGAGACATAATTGCAGTCTTCCAATATTTGAGGGACTCGTACAAAAACTAGCGGGTCAAACTATTTTCCAAAGGGCCAAAAGGCAGGACAAGAAACAATGGATGAAAACTAGACTTAAGGAGAAATTTCTTAACAGCAATGAAAAACACGGGGAACACCTTGCCATCAGAAGGAGATATTCCATCACTGGAGGCTTTCAATGGAATAGAATAGAATTCTTGAT